TGTAGCACTACTGAATGTGTTCCATTTTCGACTGTAGACTTACTAACTAGTGTTTGCTTTGGTTCGCGAGACCATATAATTGAATTTATAGTTTCATTGGCATTTTGTATTGTACCATGCAAACATTTAATTAGAAGATCATCAGCTTGAAGATCTTTGATGATTGGAAAAAGAAGATTCTTAATTCAGATACACGATTTTGGTTTGTAATTTTTAAGATTAAGATTTCAATATTTGCACCAACTTTTCAATTCTCTTGGGCAAAACTGATGCAGAAATGTGAATTGAATGTTTTCAAAACTGGTGAAATGAAATAAATTAGTATAAACTGCTTTTTTTCATAGCATACAAGTTGTTGACATTTTGATGACATGCTATGCTATAATAATTTTGCATATAATTTATACACTTTTCTGTTAGATTACCTTTTCTGTTAGGAATTTTTAGTGTTCACATTTTACTATAACAAATGTGCGAACCCTTTTCTACACGGATAAAGTTAATCGCTTAAAGCAGTTATAGTAAGCAGTTTCAGCTATCAGTTTTTTGAGAATTGAAAAGTTAATAAGTAAAAAAAAATCTTTTTTAGAGTCAAATTTATTCAAACAGTTTATTTTAATTTTTTTTTTCTCTAGAACAACTACTAGCTGTTTTATTTGTGCAAAATGATGAAATGCTCGATTTTTATTTGCAACAACACCGTTTCATTTTCGTTTTATTCTTCTTGATAAAATTCTTTTACTTGTATTTCCTAGTTAAAAATCAACTTTCATATAATTTTATATAAAATGAGGAAAAAGCTTCAACATAATAGACTAACATTCCCAGTCAAAAAACACTCCCTGTACTTAACTTAAGTTTTAAAGTGACTTTTAAAACGGAAAACTAACAAGAGTCTTCATTTAACACATTAAAATCAAGTTTGTGATGATATTTTCCTATTTTGAATTCATAAAAACTCAAATGTTTGATGATTGCTAAGGCGTTGTTATGAAAAATGTTCAAAATCGTTATTCATTAAAATGCTGTTAGACCAACTTTTATATTATATTTGAGGTTAGTTTTTTTATTATATGTTGTTATATATATTATATAACCCTAACCCTAACCCTGACGAATGATTATAGAGTCAAAATACAAAAAAATCTTAAAATTGATTTTTTTTCAAAAAACTTATTTTTTTTTTTGTTGTGTGCCACCTTAAATTATTTAAAAATGTGGCTTTTGACAATGTAATGTGAAGAAATGAAATTTTGATGTTAATAATTGTAAAATTATTATTTAATAATTTATTTGTAGTTGTATATATTGATTTATATATTGACATTTTTATAACAACATATAAATTCTATTCATTTATTTATGATTTTGCGTAAACTCAGTAAAATGAGTCAAGTAACTGTGAATTAATGACGATTTTCCGTTAATTTGAATGGAAAAAATGAAATACGGAAACCATGAATTTTACGGAGAATGTTCTGTATCTTTTTTTATGGACTTTTTCCGTTGATTTTTACGGAAAATAGAAACTACGGAAACCGTTTATTTTTACGGAGAAAGTCCTGTCACTTTGCTGCCGGACATTCTCCATTGAATCTACGGCAAACTTTTTAACAGTATACGTACTTTGAATTCAATGCGTTAACATCTGGATCTCGATGCCATACTTAAAACAGCCGTTCTGACTTTGCGTTTCACAAGTTCCCACAGATTTTTAATGAGGTTTATATTTAAAGAATTGCTATGCTAATTAAGTCATTAGCCAGAAAAGTCTTTATGGATTTTGCAGTAAGGCATGGAGCACCATCTGGCATAAAAACTATTTTTCACCGTTAGGAAACCACTCTCGTATCTGCGGAATCAGGATAGACTGTGAGACAGTCTTGTGGTGATCTTGTTTCATCGCCCCATGTACTAAGTAAAATTGACGTGTAACCCTGCTCGATATGAATGACCAAACCATTATAAATGCTGGGTGCTTTACAGTGTTTACAATGTATTGTGGTTTGTGTTGTTCTATTTGCTTGCGGAGGACGTATGTGGCTTTGTCTTCCGAAGTCTCAAAGGTAAATTCATTGTTAAATACAACCTGAATAAAGTAATAATAATAATGTTTAATAATATTCCAAATTTTAGTAAAATTGATTAGGACAAGATATTAATGCGAAAACGTCTTTTAAAAACTTGTAGTATCAAAATATTAACTGTTTATGTTTTTTGTAGTTTCTATGTAGTTATTGCAAAGTTTCTATAGTTCTATGTAATTATTGCAGATTTTATGCGGAACGCATTTATAAGTTATACGGCCGCGGCGCAGTGGTTAGAGCGCTTGCTTTATAAACAGGAGATTTAGGTTTAAAACGAGCTTTGGACATATTTTCGCGTCACGGTAAGGAAGGAGGCGTGAACTTCAATGCACTTCCGCGGAGCTTTGTGACAAGACCGTCAGGTCTTTTTGAGGCACTAAAAAAAAAGAAAAAAAAATAACCACAAAAATTTTTATGTGTTTTTAAAATAATTGAAACTAAATTTTCTAAATGCATTTTAAAATTGGTATACATACAGGCGAAATTCCCATAGTTCTATTAGTTTGTTTTGAAAACTCAATAAGAGTTAATTAAAATTTAAGTAAGATTTTTAATTTGTTTGTTTTTTATGGAAATTTTGTGTATATTTTTTATGGAAATTTTGTGTATAATTAAGATTTGTTATTTAATTATTACAATGGCACGTGGAAAGCAGCTAAACGAGGAAGAAAAAGCAAAAATTGTTGCTCACAAAGATATGGGTTTGTCCAATTAAGAAATTGCAAAGAAAATCGAAAGGTCTCATCATGCAGTGAACAATTTTATAAACTAAGGTAAAAATTACAACAAAAATCACTTATCAATAAAAAAGGAAATAAAAAGCAACCAAAATGCAAACTTTCTTCCATTTTGCGTTTGGCGTCATCTGGAGTGCGAACAGCAAGAAAAATAAGAACTGAACTTGAATTACCTGTGACTGCAAGACGTGTCCAACAAATTTTGTCAAAATCAGGGCTATTCCAATGGAAAAAAATGATCTCAAAACCAACATTGTCAAAAAACATAAAAGTTTGCGATTTAAGTTGGCTAAGGACCTCATGAAATGGGATGCAGAATGGAAAAATATTATTTTTTCCGAAAAAAAAAAGTTTAACATAGGTTGGCCTGATGGTTTTTGTATTATTTGCATGGTTTAAAAGGAAAAGATAGAATAGCTATGAGTCGTAACTTCGGAGGAAGGACAGTTATGGTGTGGGCCGCATTTTATTTCCACGACGAAATTCCAATACGTTTTAATAAAACAAAAATGAATGCAAAAACTAAACTCACTTTAAACTGTAAGTCACTTAAAAAGACATGATTTAAGTTATGACAAACAAAATTAACTGAAAGTTTTTAATTTTGTATTAATAAAATTTATCATACCTTTTATAAAATTGAAAACGTTATTTAAAGTATATCTTTAAATGTTTTGCAAGTTTTATTCATTTAAACACAACACAAAAGTTTACAGGTTAACTTCCTTGAACTAAGTTAAGTTTATAGGTGTTTAATCTATGCAATATTTCAAATGATAGTGTTTTTAGTAAAAAAGTAAAGTTCCAAAACAATTTTAAAATATTATTTGTTCATGTTTTATAGAAAATATATTTGTAAAATTGAATTAACCTCAAGTCAATAGTGTGACTTTTTTTAATTTATATAAATATATATATTAGGCCGGATCCAGCATTTCTTGATATTTATAAATAAAGAAGCTTTTGATATAATAAATATACTTATTTATTTTATCAAAAGAGCAACAAGTTTATATAAATATATATATATATATATATATATATATATATATATATATATATATATATATATAATATATATATATATATATATATATATATATATATATATATATATATATATATATATATATATATATATATATATATATATATATATATATATATATATATATATATATATATATATATATATATATATATATATATATATATATATATATATATATATATATATATATATATATATATATATATATATAGAAACACTCAACATCCTTGGTCTAATCACTTTGAAAACCAAAACAAAACGTTAAAATCTTTTACAGCAGTATAAAACAATACATGGTTTCAAAAAATTTGACTTCTTCACTCCACAAATGACAGCACCTTCTTTTTCGCACTACATTGTACTGTACTGAACGATTCAAGTATTTCATAAACCATGTTGTAAATTATTGAAATTCTTATATATATATATATATATATATATATATATATATATATATATATATATATTATATATATATATATATATATATATATATATATATATATATATATATATATATATATATATATATATACATATATATATATATATATATATATATATATATATATATATATATATATATATATATATATATATATATATATATATATATATATATTTATATATATATGTATGTATGTATTTTACTATTCTCAATTAAAATTATATTTATCGAGAAATTCTAAATTTCATACAATAACCTCTTACCGTTTAAAAGTTATGACTTTATAAAACTTGTAACCCTTTCAAATTTAGAGGGGTTTAAACTTTATATTGTCATAATAATTAAAAATAGTAAAAATTATTTTATCAATTTGTTGCCCTCATGTTTATGGTAGTTGTGTTGCATTTTTTTCAAAGCATTCTTATTTGACATAAGTATAAACGTGAAAATTTTGTATATATATGTATATATATATATATATGTATATGTATATATATATATATATATATATATATATATATATATATATATATATATATATATATAGATATAGATATATATATATATATATATATATATATATATATATATATATATATATATATAATATATATATATATATATATATATATATATATATATATATATATATATAAATGTGTGTGTATTATTTTAAATTAAAATTTTAAAACGTAGATTATTAAACCTTTAGGAACTTTAACATCGTTTGAAGAGATAAACTTGATACATGATAAAGGAAGCATAACATCATCATTAAATTTTGCATTTATATCGTTTGATAATGACAATAAATACATGTCAAAGACTTTTTTGACTCGCTCATTATACTTACGGATTTCCTAAAAAGTTTAAAGTGTATTAAAATAAAATAAAAGCAATTATTTAATCATTTTTACATATAAAAACTATTGTAAAATAATATTTTTAAATTATATATTAAATAATAATGAAAATATATCAAATAACAATAAAAAATTGTTGCCTGAAGACTGCGACGCAAGCAAGTGCAATGAAGCCATTAAATGTTTTATTCCATCTACACGACATCTACTTACGCTGATAAAAAAACCTTGAACTACTTCACCTTTACATGTGAAGCTGTTCAAGGTGTTTTTTACCGCAAAAATATGGATTCACAAAACAATTAATAAAGTGTATTAAATATTGTACAAAAATGTGCGTAATATTGTACAAGGTATATGTACAAGAATATTGTACAAGATATATGTACAAGAATATTGTACAAGATATATGTACAAGAATATTGTACAAGAAACACTAGATATATGACTAGTGGTTTTAAGGCTCATCTCAAAGAGCTGCGAAACATGTGTTTTTGAACCAACATTTTAATTACACATTTAAATTACTAGAAGATGAAAATAATCATATATCTACAGACAAAATGATATTCTTAAGTATTTTTAACAATTACTTCCATTCTGCATTCGCTTTAGAACCTGAATTCGCTTCAAAAAAAGAACTAATATAACTTGTGGCATGAATAGTTACAATATCAAATTCACTGATGTCCAACGCAGATTGGAGAGTCTTAAAGAATTTAAATCAATGGATTTTGATGGGCTTTATCCGAAAGTTCTATATTCATGCGCATCTTCCTTTACTACACCTCTTACTATACTAATTACTTTTTCTATTTGCGGTAAAAGTTTACCGTAAATCGTTTAGAAAAAACATTGTTTCAGACCTCTAGAGGAAATTAAACGTTAGGGTTATCTTCAAGAAAGTGAGTCCAGATCAAAAATATTGAACTTCCAACCTGTTTTACTAATAACCGTACCCTGCATTATCATACACAATCAAAATATGAAGTTCTGCAACGAAAATGCCTTTAAAAACCACATGGTTTTTTGAACAAAAAAGGCTTCATCAAAAATTTAATTGAAGCGAGAGGTATTAACTAAAGGTATTTACCAAAGTAATGCTATTGACGTAATTTACAGTCACTTTTGTAATGCCTTTGATACGGTGCCACACCGTTGACTTCTGAATAAACTTAAAGCATGCGGCATTGATGAGTCACTAATCAATTGGATTGAACAATGGTTAACCAAAAGACGACAGCATGTGTATATTAATTTCTATTAATCCGAATGGAAACGTTTTACAAGCGAAGTAGCACAAAGTTTAGTTGTTGGTCCACTACTGTTTGCCCTCTTTAATAAGGATCTACCTGATAATATCAATAACCACATCAAAATATACGCTAATAATTGAAAAATTATGGGAGTTATCAAATTCACACACAACTACACAGAAGAAAATAAAGATAAAACACATCATCAACTACAACTGCCGCTGAACGTGACCTTGGTGTGCTTCTTTCAGACAACCTCAAAGTCAAAAAACAGGTTGATTCGGCCGCGACAAAAGCAAACATAATGCTCAAAAAACTCAACAGAGTGTTTAGAAGCAGAGTTCTGCTGCTTTTATAAGTGATTTATAGTCCTTATGCCAAACCACACTTAGAGTTTGCTATCCAAGCGTTGTTACCTTATTTCCAATGAGACAGAAAAAGACTTGAACAAATCCAGTTCATAGTAATTAAAGTAAATATTGAGCTGAAACAGTTTTCTGACAAAGAAACACTCAACATCCTTGGACTAATCACTTTGAAAACCAAAACAAAACGTTAAAATCTTTTACAGCAGTATAAAACAATACATGGTTTCAAAAAATTTGACTTCTTCACTCCACAAATGACAGCACCTTCTTTTTCGCACTACATTGTACTGTACTGAACGATTCAAGTATTTCATAAACCGTGTTGTAAATTATTGAAATTCTTTTATATATATATATATATATATATATATATATATATATATATATATATATATATATATATATATATATATATATATATATATATATATATATATATATATATATATATATATATATATATATATATGAGATTACGGGTAAATTCTGTTATGTTTATTAACTTTGATAACTATTAAAGTTTAAGAAGAAAAATTCATTAACTTTAGAATTTGTTTTTGTTATCTATAATAAACATGTAATATATATATATATATACATATATATATATATATATATATATACATATATATATATATATATATATATATATACATATATATATATATATATATATATATATATATATATATATATATATATATATATATATATATATATATATATATATATATATAAATATACATATATATATATAAATATATATATACATATATATTTTTATATATATACATAAATATATACATATATATATATATATATATATATATATATATATATATATATATATATATATATATATATATATGTATGTATATATATATATATATATATATATATATATATATATATATATATATATACATATATATATTCATATATATATATATATATATATATATATATATATATATATATATATATATATATATATATATGTATATATATATGTATATATACATATATATATATATATATATATATATATATATATATATATATATATATATATATATATATATATATATATATATATATATATATATATATATATATATTACATGTTTATTATAGATAACAAAAACAAATTCTAAAGTTAATGAATTTTTCTTCTTAAACTTTAATAGTTATCAAAGTTAATAAACATAACAGAATTTACCCGTAATCTCAGGTTTTCAAATATAACGGTAACATAACACTAGACTAATTGTTATATAACCAGTAATTACCGTTTTGTTTTATTTATTATTTGTATGAAAAAAACTTGACAACAAACACCGTTATTCTTTTTTTAAACAAATTATAGATGAAACAGAACGTTACATACCCGTTATAAAACCTTAAGTCTAACGTTATGTTTTCTAAAAATATGAAGAATATTTTTTTACTATTTATTATTGCTGCTTAATCTACCAATTATCACTTGTGAATATCAAAGTAGCAATCTTTTGCTGCAACGTTTCTTTATGCTCAAAAACAATTTTTTTTTTCCTAATCAAAAGGTGATTTTCACAATTTACAAATATACAAATTTCCTCACAATTTACAAATTACATTTTCTGACTTATAAACTATTTTCTTAACTTATTAGATACTTTTAACTTAAACAGTTAAACAGTTAAGCGGTTGTCTGCAAGACGTTAGAAAATAAGTTTTTTTATTAAGAATTAAAAACAACCAGAGTTTGTTATATATTACTATCTTATATAGCAACAGTAAAAATCTGCAGATTATTAACAACAGCTATGGATTTGGATGATTAATTGATTGTTGCATGGTTTTAAATTCTATTTATTATTTCAATGGGGTAAAGATGTGGCAAGTTTTCTTAAAATAATTCCTACATTTTTTAATATAATACAATTATCAAGACAACACTTAAAAATTTTAAACCTAATACTACTATTACTAATTACTAACACATTTACCTTCCATTCACAACCTCCTACCGAGTACTTTATATCTCCGCACTTTTATATATTGCCTTTCATCTGCAACTTGATACTGAAAATTGTACTAATTTTACATAAAGTAGTATAGCTAATTTTTATTTTACTCAAAATCAAATGAATTATCAAATTAACACCAGGTTAGCAAGACTTGGAAATAAAACTACATCTAAAAGATAAAGTAATTTACATTATCATAAAAAGATGGCATCATAAAATCTGTTTAAACCTTGTTAGTGTAAAACCCGTGGTAATTTAAAAAATCTGAAAATTCCTAATCAATGTTACAAAAAAAAATTGCTTGTCAAACACATTTGTTAAACACATCAAACTTAACAATGTTTGTATGTTTTTTGAAAACTATTCCATTAAAAATAGTCATACAAAAATGACAACAACCTTCAATTATCTATTCAAAGGGTAATTTTAAAATTTCAAATTTATCCCTGTAATTAAAAACACACATTTTACTCACCTGTTATATAAATTATCATAATTATTTATATTAAAAAAATATATACATTTTTATATGAACAAAACATTATTATCAATTTAAAATAAATAAAATGCTGAAATAATACTTTATTACCTCGATAAAAATATGAGGAAGCTTTTTTAATAATAGTACACTTGTACTTCTTTTTTTCTCCTCAAGCGCTGGATGGACTTCAGTATTGGTAAAAAAGTAGGATAAAACAGAAATGAGATCTTCTAAAAACTGTGCTGTATATAATCCATTTTTAAGTCTGGTGCCATTAATACAATACTTATGAAAAACTCCAGAATTTAATAATGAAACAAAAGATAAATTGCATGGTTCATGATAGTGTAAATGTGAAGCTAATCCAGCTAAACCTTGCGGTGTCCCATCACTTTTCAACAACTCCTAGATCAAGTTTAAATTACAAAAAAAAACTACTGGAAAAAAAGTTGCAAAACAAACAAATATAATGCAAACTATATGTTTAAAACTAAAATAATATTTAAAATGAAAACATTTAATATTTCGTTTTATTATAACATTAATATAATATTAAATACACTATAACATTCAGAATCAAACCTCTCTAATTAGAAATTGAACGCTAAAGAAAAAAAAATGCTTGAACTGACTATCTAGCTCAGGATACTCTTTCAACAATAATGGATATTTTAGCAGTGCCAACATCCTAAAATTATCAAAAAATATCTTATCTTTTAAAATTTGTAATTGTGTTACAGTTTTACAATTTATATTATATAAATATATTTCAATAAAAAACAATTGAAACAGTGATTACAAATGGTTTATACTAAAAAGAAGACAAGAGTATATGTAAAATGATCCTCGAGGAACATGATCGAATGAAAAAGTTGAAAAGGTTAAAATTAAATATTTCACCTAAAATTATATTAATAAGTTATATATGTATATATATATATAAATATGTATATATACATATATAAATATGTATATATATATATATATATATATATATATATATATATATATATATATATATATATATATATATATATATATATATATATATGTGTGTGTGTGTGTGTGTATATATATATGTGTGTGTGTGTGTATATATATATATATATATATATATATATATATATATATATATATATATATATATATATATATATATATACATATATATAAAAGAAGATTTAGCTGCCGTGGTGCTCTAACCACTGCGCCACGGCTGCTAAATCTTATTCTTACAATTTTTCCTATTTTATTTTTCCTATTTTTTCCGTAGGAGAGTGCGGCACTTAACTAGTTAAATTTAAAATTATTAATGCGCTCTACTTCGGAAAAAAAAAGGAGAATGGCAACACAAACCCTGTGTTATCTAAAGTTTTATTTATGATTATAGTTCAACAAATTTAGTAATCTTTGGAAAAGCTTTGTTATAAATTTTTGAACGATGGTAAGAAACATTTAACATGCTTTGTAATTTTAAAAGATTCCAATTTTAAGAGATAGAGGTTATGAAAACAATATATAGCAGTTTAGAGCGAAGCTAGTAGAACATAAAAACAAAAATATCTCAAAAACTACGCATTGCATGACAATACCTCTGATGAATGAAAGTTTAAAAAATAATTAAGAAAAATAGAATAGAATATAAAAAACCTGACACGAACAGTTTTAAAAGCGGAAAAATTATTTTTTAAGTATCAAAAATATTTTACTGGATTTAACAACAAAAATGTTGGTAATGCGGTAGTGGTGTAATGGTAGAGCGCTCGCTTCATAAACGAGTGGTTCTGAGTTCAATCCCCACTACGTCCCTGGTAGTACCGCGCTCAACTCGTTTCTCCGCGCAGCGGCCTTGTTCGTCAAGGTTCGTGTTTTGGAGTTATAGAGTTGAGAGAGGGTTATAGCCGCAAAATAAGTAGCCTCCTCGTCTGTAGTGGCCTTCTCGGCCTTGAGAAGGTGAAGTAAAATAAAATAATAATAAAAAAAAATCAATAAAAAGGTCTCAACAATTGGAAAATTTAATGGTCATCATCCTCAGTCTTGATATCCTCAATAAAAATTATAATCTTAGAGAATTCAAATATGCTATTTCAAGTCTCCATGCAAGGGTTCAAATTTTTGAGATGATTTTGCACATAAACACATAAAAATACTTTCCTTTTTTTACTTTTAAACATAAAGAAATGGAACCTGAGATTAAACAATAGACTTAGATTGATTTTATCACCAATAATTGAACAATAATCGTACATTTCATCATAATTTAAGTAGAGCTTAGTAAAGCAAGGAAAACATGTAGAATTAACCACAATGAACTCAATCTTAAAAGAATAACTAACAGAAGAGAGATTGTCACTATTATGAAGGTGACGAAAGATCTGTAATATAGAACATGGAGGTCAAAAAATGCTATCTTAAGTAAAAAGAGTTTTATGAACAAAAGGCTACGGGATGCAAACCCGGATCTCTGCGGCGAATTATCACGTATCTAACTGATTGAACTATACGATCTTATACTTAAATTTATATCTTATTAAAATTAAAAAACAATATTTTCTAAGATCTATACTTCGAAAAGCGTATTCAAACAAGACTCTACATACCTTTAAAACCTGCTAGAACTTTAGTAACGTGCACACTTTTAGAAATTATTTAAATAGGTATATTTTATCAGAAATATGCTTAAGCTAAAGCATATTTTTGAGCCTCTTTTTACTATTTGCTTAAGTATATTCGAACCTGTTTCAAAAATTTCATATGCTTTAAAAAAAAAATGTATATTTCTACCCATCATTTTTATTTTTTATATACGTAATGAGTTCAAAAAACATCGTTATATATATTTATCATGGCACGTTTCGTAAGTTTATTTCCGTTAAGAATTCTTTCGTATGTTGTGATCAGAAATACTTTCGTTTCGAAAGAAATTTTATTTTTTATCAATATTTCTAAAAATAAAACCATAAAAATTTAATATGTTATTATACTGAAAATAAAAATTCATTATAAACATTTTTGGATTTAAAGATTTTCTTCAAAACGTCGCTAGGCGAAAATATTTGTTTCGCAAGTGCGACTTCCGAAACCGCTGCTTTCGTATGTTGCAAAATAGTTTTGTTTCGTATGTCAACTTGCGAAATGCTAAATTTCGGAAGTGGCTTTTGCGAAATGAACCTCGGCGATTTTAAATGTTTTGTAACATTCGGTACGAAAAAATGTAATTCCTCGTTCTCAATCTACTTACGAAAGAATGTTGTTTTTCCGGAATTTTACAAAATCCTCCGGTTAACAACCCTGTAATTTAATTGATGATTTAAATAATATATATTTCTAATATATTTTACTTTCACTAATGTTGTTGCTTATGTTAAAGAACTTTTATTTAAAGTAAAGATTTTATGATGAAAAGATAAATTTGCAATATACAATAATTGTTTATTTGTTATTTTACAAGATAAATTTGCAATATGCAAAATATATTTATTATTGAACATAGTAAATATTTTTATAATTTATTTTATCCTATCTAATTTTTAAAAGAGCAATAAGTTAATAGTAGTTAAAAAGTAGAAACAGAAGTAAAATTAAGTTTGTATATACGTCCCAGTGGGTTCGGGACCTAATAAAGTCGTCTTATGAACGTTCAAAAAGACGTCTTTTTTAAAATTGTGCCCACTGGGATATGCATGTATTTATGCATACATGTATGAATAATGTATGTATGTAAACTTGAATTTGTTATCAAAAATTCATTAACATTATTATTTAAATATATTAAAATAGAAATTTATTTTTAAAAATCATTTGTGTATTGATAATATTTTTATTTTATACCTTATTAGAGTATTGTCATTAGCTTTTTCATCAACTTGATCGTTAAGACAAATAAACAAACGTAAACAAAGAGACACAGTCATTGGAAAGTTTCCTAATAGTTCAGGTAGATTTCCGGTAAGTAATTTTGATATTTTTTCATTGGAAAGTCCATGAAACACAACATTTCCTGTAATATCAAACCCCCTACGGCCAGCACGACCTGACATTTGTCGAAACATTAATGGAGTTAAATGAATATTGTCACCAGCAAACACAACTGTTTTACAAGGTACGTGAATACCAAGTGCAAGTGTGGAAGTAGCTACGACAATATTTAAAAATCTCTTTCTAAATAATATTTTAACAGTTGTTCTTAACTTATTATTCATGCCAGCATGATGCATAGCAATACCATAACGTATTCCTTTCATAAAATCTATAGGAGCAGTCTTAGATACTCTATTATACAGATAAGTTAAATCTTCTTTCATAAATACACCTATACCTAAAGAAAAAAGTTAATAGTATAATATAAAAGTTTAATAAAAGTAATATTATTAAATATATATATATATATATATATATATATATATATATATATATATATATATATATATATATATATATATATATACATATATATATATGTATATATATATATATATATATATATATATATATATATATATATATATATATATATATATATATATATATATATATATATATATATATATATATATATATATATATATATATATATATATATATATATATATATATATATATACATAACCACAAGTATATATCACGGTTTTATATATTTTATTGTGGAAAACGACCAGTATTGAAGCCATAACGGGGCTTAGTAATGAGATAAACTGATGTTTTTTTCTTGCTCTAGCCATTTGTTTTATGATAATTAATAAGTTGTTATTTTCTACGGCAAAATTAAAAATTAATAAACAAAATTTTTTTGATGGCGTATTTGCTGCAGACATCAAAAGCAACTCAACCAGAGAATTGCACGATGCAATTTATCTTGTATGGAAATGCAAGTTTCTTTTAAATGAGCTGTATTAGCATATGAAGCAGCAATTTTGAATGGATCCCCGCCAGATTTGACATATACTGCCAAATTATATGTTGCATGTTGTATATATATCATTCTCAGTGCGTTTGCAAAAGCCAGTAGATTTGGTTAGCTTAACTGAAGACATAATCGTATTTGCTTTAGTTGTTATTTTATTGGCACTGATTTAGTTGCTTAGTACAGTCATCTGCATTGGTGGTTTAATCTTCATCAACAAAAATAAAGCAGGAGATATTTAAAGTAGAATTACAATTTTTATCATCATTATCTTCAAAATCTCAGATGAGCTTTCATTGGAAATTAAGTCTTAAGCAACACTGAAAACTGGTTTTGTGTTTTCAACACAAGGAAATGAAATACTTTTAATTAAATACCAGTACATGTTACTAGTAAAGTTATTGATAAACTTAACATGCAAAATATTATCATGTTGTCAAAGCAAACCAATGCACAGGGGAACAGAGATAGCAAAAAGTTCAAAATGAAAAAGTTCTATATTCCCTTTTTTATTCATTTACAATTCATTATTATCTGAATTACGCAAACATAGCGTGGTGTTGCACAGGTCAAAACAAAAATAAAAAATTTAATAAACAAAAACATACCGGTAGAATATTATCTAATGTAGGCCGTTTTACACATCCTAATGAACTATTTGTAAAGCTGAATATACTCACTGTCTACCAACTAAACATTTATCACCTTTTTCTTTTTATCTTTATAGTTAATGCTAAAATAAAACTTACCATTTTTAATTCGGTATTCATAATAAATAAGCAAAGATATTTTACCAGATACTTAAACAACCCTTATATTCACCACAAATTTTTTTTTGTGGTGAATATAAGGGTTGAATAGTAAAGTTGAATATAAAAGTTTTCAATATCAATTAGAGGTTTTAAAAGTTTCAAGTTTATTAGATATATTATTAGTTTATTAGTTTTCTCTAATAAACTTGAAACTATTGAAACTCGAATTCAAACCAAAATTGTAGTAAATACTTTTGATTGACTAAGTTCGTGACTGCTTGTGAACTTACCTGGTGGTACAGCACAGTGAGCCATAAAGACCGTCAGGTTCGAAATCTCACCACCTCACTTTTTTTTTTTTAAGTAACCTAAGTTTGTATAAGTGTTTTTCAAGTGCAAACCAAATCTGAACTCGATCAGAAGAATTAGTAATTTAAGTTTAAAAAAAGTATAAAGGACTAAAAATTTAGCAATTAAAACGATGTATTCTACCATTTTCGGCTTCTTTTTTAAAAATAATTTTCAACTGATAAGAAAAATAGTTGGAGAAAAACCGACAGAGCGGTAAAAACGGCGGGTTTGAAGCAGTCTGTTTGTGCATTTTGTTTGGAAAAAAAAGGCGAATACTCAAAATTATCAAAAGTATAACCATGTATAGCAAATAAAATCAAAAAGTATATTTGGTCTGAGTACAATGAAGATTTCATTGTTTGCCCTGACGTTATATGTTCCAATTGTAGAAGAAACATATTTTTTCTGGAGAAGGGATCAAGTACTTATCTGTCAAACTGAATGAGTAGTTTATCAAGTATCTTAAGTACAGAGTTTATTAAATTTAAATAATTAATACATAAATAAATAAAAATTACTTTTTTATAAAGTATATGTTTCTGAGTTAGGTTGACAGGCCAATAATTAGACGCAGTACCGAACTTAGTGATACTATTCAACCACCTCGTGGTAAAACAATAGCTGTAGAATCTCCAAAGAAAAATATATGCATTTGCTGCTTTTCTCTCCTTGCTATAGCTTTACAAATAAATATTAAATTATTTGATAAGTAAATAAAAAGTTGTCAAATATTTATGTATACATACATATTTAATTATAACTATGTAAATTGTAAACAATATGTACAATTGTACACAAATAGTTTTTTTTTATTATAATTTTTTTAACTTCAATAAAAAATAACCTTATTTTTAAGCCTAATAAATTTGTATAAATTTTATATTTAATTTTATTCTTAATTTTATTTTAAATTTATTCAGGAGGTCATAGCAATTGTTGTTCTGGTCAGGCTGTTTAAAACCTAATTAATTTGTCTGAAAACCTTAATTACACGTCATGCGAACAAGTTGCTTCAGACATAATTAAAAACAAGATGAAACGAGAAGGCATAGAGAGAGGCCAATTCTTCAAAATATTTACAGGTAGTTAAGTTTTTTATTTTTATTATAAAATTGTTGATAAAAGATTTAAATGTTCATATAGTCTATATTATATATTATAAAAGTTAAAGGCATGCAAAAATAGATATAAGGTATATAATTTAACAATTATTTTGATTGCTATCTTTTTTGAAATATTTGTGTTTTAACTTTAGTTATACTTTATTTTTAAAGTGGGAATCTAATAATTTTAACCGTTGGACTAAAGATAATAAAACTTCCAGAAAGTCTTTCAATCAGATATCATTCCAAGCAGTTATGGAGTTAACTTCTTTACTGGAATTAACAAAAAATCAAACAAACAAAAAAATGATATCAAGTCTGCGTAAGAATCTAGGGAATCAATGTATTTAGCATGATGACATCATTGCAATAAGAAATTTATATATAAAGTAGAGCAAGATGATTTTATTTGGAATGATAAAACTGTTACAAGAGATATAGCATTTATTCATAACACTTCTGAATTTATTCTTAGTATTTTAATGGAAAAAGGTTTAGATCCTCTTTCCAGTATGGTACGTGTATCCATTGATGGAGGTCAAGGATTTCATAAAGTAATTGTAAATGTCTTTGACAAGACCAATAAAAATGAGATACACATTGACAGTGGAGTTAAGAAGTGTTTTATACTTGCTATTGTTGAAGGTATTTATGAAAACCATGGAAATCTGCAGAAAATCTTCAGTAAATTAAATTTAGATGATGTTACGCATCACCTTGGATTTGATTTAAAATGTGCTTACAGCATTTTTGGTTTATCTTCTCATTCTGGTAAATATGTCTGCTAATGGTGTAAAGGTGACTGCACCCTAGAAAGTGGTATTCCAAGAACGTTAGGGTCTCTTGATCATTGGAACAAGTTATTGGTTGAAAATGGGGCAAAGCAATTGCACATGAAAGATTTTAAAAATGCGATTAGTTTTCGTCTTGTTTATTTTGATAAAAATCCTGAAGTTGAAATTAATCACTTAGTTTCAGCACCAGAATTACATCTTCTTATGGGGATTGTGACACTACTTGGTAGGCTACTTTCAGATCATTGATCTCTGTTTACGAATTGGCTTAAAGAGCATTATATTTTACTTCGTGGTTATCATGGGATAGACTTTGATGACAATAATGCCACAAAACTTTTAGAAAAAATAGATATTTTAGAAAGAGATATTTTAGCATCTCAAACTAATTTGATACTCTTTGTTCATTGCATCAGAAAGTTTTCTAAAGATAAAAAGTGCACATTTGACAAGAATTAGGCTGTAATGTTTCTTCAGTTATTGAAGAGTTCAAAGTATCATTTTTTGAACTACAGTATGCAAAAATACATTTAAATGCAGAGCTGAATGTTACTTGGAAAGTACATATAATGGTTTGCCATATTCTCCCATTTGTGAAATATAATTCTTGTTCTCTTGGGTCATAAACTGAGATTAGAGAGGCTGTTTATAGTGCCTTTAAACCAAGTTGGTCTCGATATAAACAAAGGATTGGGCATATAGAATATAGTTTTTTATTTGCGTTTGTTTGGCAAAAAGCAAAGATAAACGCAAGCAGGTAGTGAAATTATTTTTAAATCTTATAACATCAAAAAAATTAATAAATAATTCTATTTACAAATAATTCTTCGTAGTTGTATGATATAGAGACCGTAGTATATAGTATGATATACAGATCGTAGTATATAGCATGATATAGAGATCGGTATCAATGACTCTAATAAGTTGCCAGATCATAATTGCGACAAACCTTTTCTTGTCGATGACATCGATGACGTTTAAAAAACGCCATCACCTTTAAAAAAAATCAGTTGAATTTTGTATTTGATTGTCACAATGACTAACAAATATATAAAATTGATCTTTCTATCCAAATAGACCGACACCTAACAACCCTGCACTATGGCAATCAATATCAGACGCTGATCAAACGAATATAATTTTGATTATACGAATATATTTTGATTAAACAAATATAATCAGACGCTGATCAAACGAATATAATTTTGATGAGACCTACTTTGAATCCTAACAATTTTTCAAGGAATTAAAAGAACGCGAATTACCTACTTACATTTTTATAGAGGAACAAAGAAACGTATAAAGTATAAAGAGATTGGTTTGTTTGGAGTAAGGCTATGGCATCACTTTTTTTTTCTTGTGCTCCTTTTTTGGATTGCCTAATTTAACCAGACCCGTTGTTTAATCCGGTTTGT